AGGAGAAGGTTCTGGAGTTGGCAAGACCCCAGCTGGCCCTGGTTCCCCTTGGCTACAGCATGACCTTGCTGCTGTGGGACCCCCATGGGCCCCAGCTACCCTGCCAGAGCATAGTGTGGCAGGTAAGGGCACAGGGAGAGATGACGGTGCAATGGCATGGTGCTGGGCTCCTGGCTCATCCTGCTGGCCCCAGTCCTGCTGCTATGGGGTGAGACCCAGTCATGGGTGCCAAGAACCAATGGCTCCCATGTTGACCGGCTTGTCCCCAGGCAATCAATACCATCTTCCAAGAACTGGAGGCCTTGCAGGGTGATGCCCGGAACCTGCAAACTGCCAGCCTGGTGCAGGTAGGGCAGGAGCAGGATGTGCTGGGCTGAGGGTCGTGTTCCCTCTCTGCCACTGGCCCAACCCTGCTGTGCCAAGGGACCCACATTGTCCCAGTGCTGGCACTCAGTGCCCTGTGCTTGAGGGTGACCAGAGCCTGCAGATCCTTTGGATCCTGAGATCTCTCCCTTCTCAACCCTTACCTGTGCATGGCCATGAGCAGCCTGCATCCCCAGGGAGAGCAGGGTGCTGGTAATCCCCTCTTTGCACCCTTTTGCCTGACACAGCCCTGTTCCAGGTCTGCAGCCATGACAAAGCCTGGGACCTGCTTCATCCTGACGGCCGAGCCCTGCAAATGATGGATGTCGAACCCCTGGGCCTGTAGGTACCTGGTGTCCCATGGTTGGGCCGGTAGTCCTAGGGGCTAGTAACCCCAGCACTGAGCACATGGGGCTGGGCAGGGAGCATGGTGCCCAGCAGAGGATGACCAGGGGTATCCCTCAGGGAGCACACAGGACATGGATGGACGTGACCCTGTTCACTTGCTCTGTTCTCCCTCTGCTTCCAGGATGGTGGAGGAGGCAAGGGAAGTTGCCGTGCCCGATGCTCAAGCTGCCATCAGTGTGTACACCTTGGGGCTGGGAGACATCCCACCACTGTTCCAGGGGTGTGCACAGCAGCCCCCTGCAGATGGGCACTCAGCAAGACAGGGGTGAGGGATTGGGCAGATATCCCATACGGAGGGGAAGGATTCGGGCCACGGGGTGACCCTGGGCTCTGCTGCACCCCATTCTCTAGAGACACCCTCCCTAGAGCCAGCAGCCTCTTCACTCTCACCGTGGAGCAGGAGCTGGAGGGAGGCAGGTGCCAGCGCTCAGCCCTCAGGATCCTGGCATGTCCTGGGGCCACCAGGCCCTGCCCCAGGCTGTACGTACCGGATCCATGGCTCTGTGCTGGTCTGAGCAATGCCCCCTAACCTGGCACCCCCACAGTGCTGCTGTGGGTCAGGGTGGGTTTGGTACCCCTTTGGAGCAGGAGAGACCCCAACACCTCAGCAGGAGCCCATGGCTGGGAGCCAAGGGGATGCCACCACCCCTGGGGACATGGACGTGCTCCCAGCATGGCTCCCGGGGGTCAGGGCTCAGCCTGCCCAGCCCCATCCCTTTCCTGGGGTGTCCCTTGTCCCACACACAGGGCACTGAGCACTGGCCACCACCTGCCTGATGCTGCCTGCCCGCCCTGGGTCATGGAGTGG